GATGAAGACCGTGTCAGAAATAACACATATTCACGTATTCTGCTTCCAGATTGTCCCAGACTGAACTGTCAGCTGCAAACACAAACCAATTTCTGGCCGTCGCATCACAGCCCCGTTCCTGTAAACATGTTATAATGTCGTCAACCCATCTCTTCTTTGGGCGGTGGGCCGGACGGCCGCGGCAATACCTCGAAAGCTCGGGTTGCCATGCTGCCGCTTTGACTGTCCACCTGTCGGAGCTTGGCGTGGCCACGCAGCGTGCGAACCTCCGCGCCTTTCGACGCCATGCCGAGCGCCAATCATCGATGTGCAACTTTTCTAATTGAGTTTCCACTGTGGCCGTCGCGCGCTGTATCCACAGCGCCCGCGGCTCGAGGTCGCCCTGGCTCTCGTCATCTCCGTCGTTCTGGTCGTTGTCCAATGACTGGCTGTCGCTTGCGTCGGCCGCGTCGCCGGCGTCCATGCGCTGGGCATTGGCGTCCCGGTTAGCTACGCGCCGGCCATCTCCGAATACCATCCTCAACATCTTCCGTTGTGTGCGTTGCAGCTTCTGTTGCAACTCCCGTGTGAAGGTCCACGACGAAGCTCCGTGCAAGACAGTTGGCGTTATCGTGCTTTCGAACAGCTTGAGTCGAGACGACAACTTGTACCTTTTGTCCGTGAGCTCGGTCTTTCTCGCCATGAACGCTTTCCAAGCCTGCCGAATACGGTGGTCAAGCTCAGTGCGTATGTCAGACGAGCTTCCCAGCATCTTGCCCAAATGCTTTGCCGCTCCTTCTTGCGGCAAAATCTCGACGTTCAAGCCGTCGATCACAAGACTGTTCTGCGTGCCCTGGCCTTTGCTCTTCCCAGCGTCGGAACCGCGTCGGATCACCCACGAATCGTCCCGAATTGAATCGAAGTCGGATCGCCACGCCTGGCTCCTGCTGGCTTCGGCTGGTGCCGGTGAGTCGCACGGAAACGTGTCGAATCAGAATCGCGGCCCCACCTGGCGAATCGAACCGCGTCGAATCGAATCGTAAACGGCCTCGATGGTTCCACGAACTTGACAGAATCCACTCGTAGGAATCCGCTCATATGACTTCACGCGCACGCGCGGCTCAACACAGACGCACAGACGCACAGACGCGCAGACGCACAGACGCACAACACACACTGACAGACGCACACACACAGACACACAGACACACACGAAGACACAGACGCAGACACAGACACAGACAAAGACACACACACACACTCACACACACGCACACGCACACACACGCACATACACACCACATACAACACACAACACACAACAAGCACAACACAAACAACGCACACAACCAACACACACACCACACAACACACGCAACACACACCACAAAACACACATCACACCACAACACACACCACACACTACACAGCATTCACCAGACATACAAACACACGCCTACACAACGCACCACATAACACACAACACAAAACCCATAACACAACACACACCAGACACCACGCACGCACACGCAAACAGACACAGACACATACATATATGCAGACACAGACACAGACACACAGACACAGACACACAGACACACAGACACACAAACACACAGACACGCAGACACACAGGCACACAGGCACGCAGGCACAGAAGCACAGACAGACATACTGATAGACACACCGGCGCACAGACACACATATACACAGGCGCGCGGACACACAGACATACTGACACACAAAACAGGGGCACAAGCACACAGACACACAGACACACACAAAGACACACAGAGACACACACAGAGACACATGTATACACGGAGACACACAAAAACGGACAGAATCCACACAGGGACATACAGACACACAGACTCCCACACCGCTAAACAGACACACGGACGCACAGACACGTAGAACCACACAGGCACACAGACGGACATACACACAGACGCACAAACACACAGACAAACAGACACACAGAAACGCAGGCACGCAAACGTACAGGCACACAGACGCACACATACGCACACAGACACACACACATACAGACATGCACACACACGCACACACGCACGCACGCACGCACGCACGCACGCACACATACACACACACGCACACACCCGAACATACACACGCACGCACACACGCACACACGCTCGTACACTCGCGCACACGCACACGCACACGCACGCGCCCACGCACACGCACAACCACACGCACATACGCCCACGCAAACGCACGCACACACACGCACGCAGACAAACACGCACACACGCAAACGCACACGCACACGCACACGCACACGCACACACGCACACACACACACACACACGCACACGCAAACGCACACGCACACACACACACACGCGCGCACACGCACAAGCACACGCACACGCCACGCACACGACGCGCACACGCAACGCGCACGCGCACACGCACCGCACACGTACACGACACGCACACGCACACGCACACGCACACGCACACGGCCACGCACTCGCACAACACAAAACACACACACACAACACACGCACGCACGCACGCACGCACGCACGCACGCACGCACGCACGCACGCACGCACGCACGCACGCACGCACGCACCCACCCACCCACCCACCCACCCACCTACCCACCACCACCACCACCACAACCACCACATCCACCATCACCACCACCACCACCACCACCACCACCCCACCCCTACCCACCCGCCCGCCCACCCCACGCGCTCCCTCCTGATCGCTCATGTTTTTGCGCTCCACGCAGTCCTCGCAAAGCCTGCCCGTCACTGATGCGCGCGATGCCGCCCGCGAGCGACGATCCCCATGGGGGAAAAAAAAACGGGCCCGCGGGGTGGGGCCTCTGGCTCAAACAGCAACGGAAACGAACATTGACCCCTGCCCATCAACAAGACTTCGAAGATTCCTGACGACGATGGCCCGAGAAAGGGGGGGGGCCATGTGTCATAGGGCCATGGGGCCCCATGCTCGTGAACGGCGTCGCGCGTGGCAGCTCTTTATGTTATTGTGCACGTTGGGTGCGTGCAGTTGGTGGCTACGCGCATGCGTTGTTTCAGACTATTTGGGGATTGCGAACTTGAAAATGCTCGGCCCGCGTCGTTGACGTCGCGCGCGCCCATCTCAGACAGACCCACCATTAACCCAATCTCAGACAGCCTCGCAATTTACTCTGAATGTCGCGCTGTGATGTTATGGCATGTACTGGCCATATGGATGTTAGGGCATGCAATGTTGCGCTATGATGTTGCCATGCGCCCTCCACCTGATCCTCCTCCGTTGCCGCGGCCGCGCAGGCGCGGCCCGTGTAGGCTTCTCGGGTCGCCGCCAGCGCTGCGCCGTGCACGTCGGCGCGACCAGCGCAACCGGCAGCGCGACCAGCAGCGCGACCAGCGCGACCACCAGCGATGGCGGACGAAGTCGGTGTGGAGCTCCTGCTGGACGCGGCGGAGGAGCTCAACATGCGCCGCAGGGACGAGGCTCAGGAGCTCAAGCCGACGTCCAAGTGGCGCGGTAGCGCGGCGTCGCTTCAGCCGCGGCTGCCCAAGGCGCCAAGCTACCCGCTACCGCGCGGGATTCAGCGCAAGGGCATCGCTGGCGAGCTGACGCAGGACTTACAGATGCCCCCAGCCCTCGACCCTGACCACAACGCGTTGAAGGGGCTGGATGAGTACGACGACGCCGACGGTGGCAAGGGCTAAGATAGCGGCTACGACGACAAGAGCTACAGCGGTGGCATGGGCCACGACTGTGGCAAGGGCTACGACGGCGGCAAGGGCTACGACGGTGGCAGGGGCCACGGCGGTGGCATGGGCTACGGCGGTGGCATGAGCTACGGCGGCGGCAGGGGCTGCGACGGCGGCAAGAGCAAGGGCAGCGGCAAGTGCTTCGACGGTGGCAACGACTACGGCGGTGGCAAGGGCAGGTTCCATCCTCACGAGGGCGGCTGCGAGGACAATGGCCACAAGGGCTGCCGCCGCGACAAGGGCTGCGACGACGGCCGCCACGACAATGGCTACCGCGACGACAAGGGCTACAGCGACAAGGGCTACAGCGACAAGGGCTACCGCGACGACAAGGGCTAGGATGGCCGTGGTGACGGCCGCTACTACGCCGGCAAGGGCCGCCGCGCGGGCTACTGCGACCAAGGCCAGTACGACAATGGTCGTGACCATGGCAGGGGCTACGACGACAAGGGCCGATACGACACGGGCTACTACGACAAGGGCCACTACGACAAGGGCTACCACGGCAGTGGCTACAAAGGCTACTGCGACAAGCGCTATGGCTAACGACGAGGGCTACCACGACGCGGGCCATGGCACCGACAAGGGCAACTACGACGAGCGGGGCTACGAGGGCGATGGCAAGGGCAGCGACAGGGGGCCCCGCCCGCGCGGAGGGCGCCACGTCAGGTTGGCGAAGGCCCTTGCCCTCAAGGAGATGCAAGAAGGCCTCGAAGACGTCTCCATGTCCCACGGAAGGCGTGAGTACGTGAAGCGGGGCAAGCAGGTCAACTATCGCATCTGGGCCCAGACCCAGAAGGAGTTTCAGCGCGCTGGTTGACGCGCTGGTCGACGAGCTGCATGGCCAGCGCGACCTGCTCGACTTGCAGAATCGAGCCGCCGCCGCGGCCTTGCTGTCACCAGCTGGTTGCGCATTCTAGACAGCGCGCTGCAACTGACAGAACGTGCGTCGGATACGGTGTAACATCAGCGTCCCTTCCGCCTCCCTCCGAAGTGTTCTGAGAGCAGTTCGGAGAGGTTGTCGTATGTGAGATTCCAACATACCACAAAGTTGTCGCATGTGAGGTTCTAACATGCGACAACGCTGTCGCATGTAAGATTCTAATATACGACAGATTTGTCGTATGTGAGATTCTCACTTGCGACATCAGGGGGCACGAGCTCAAGTTTAGACTGATTTGGTCCTGGGGTCTTGGTGCTTATATGTTTGAAACTAGCTCTCCTCCCGTGGTGACAGCTGGCTCGAATTGCATGCTAGTGCGTGATGGGCAGGCGAGTGGTGTAACACTCGATCGAGCTGGCCACGCGTTGAAAATGCCTCTCGTCATTGACGGTGCGATCGTTGTCGTCGCCATCGCGCATTGCCGCAGTCGCCGGCATGTCGACTGTCGTGTATTAGTCGCTTTTACCTCTCCGTATCCTCTCTATGATCTCATCTGCGCCGCCTCCTCCATCCGTCGCTTCGATTGGCTTGGGCGCGTCGGCGGCCGTCGTCGTGACGCATCGGTCGCAGTTGCCGACGTCGGTCGCCGTCGCTCGGTATCACCGCTGTCGCCCTCGACCGCCGACAATCACGTCTGCGTTCCTCGACTGCGTTGCTCCGCCCGCCCCGCCGCCTCTCGCCGCCCCCCCCCCCCCCCGCCACCTTCCCCCGCGCCCCGGTTGGCGCCGCGCGTCGCCGCCGATGCCGCTCCAATTCCCCCCCCCCCCCCCCCCCGTTTGTCGCCGCTGCCCTCTCCGCCGCGCCCCTCGCCTAATCCCTCGTCGTCTCCCCCGTCGCCGCTGCCGCCGCCGTCGCCCATGTCGGCGTCGTCTTCGTTCGGCGGCCCGCTCCGCGGGGAGGGCGACGATCGCGACGGCGACTGTGGCGGCCGCGACTGCGACGGCCGCGACTGGGCGACGACGACGGCAACGAGAGAGGTCGGCCTTCGACGGCGGCGGCGGCGGCGACGACGGCCGCGGCGGCGGCGGCGGATGCGCGTGATCTGCGCGCAGGACGCCTGTTCACGCGTGTGGCGGTCAGCATTATTATGAATGCTCGCAGATGCGTTTGCGCGCATGCTCCCAGCAAGCGCGCATCAACCTACGCGCCTCGCTCTCCGCCAGCTCGCGAGGCGTGCTCCCCGACGCCCGAGGCCTTGCGCCCCGCCGCCCGAGTGATGGCGCCCGCTTCAACATGGCGATCCGTCGCCCGAGCGCGTGCCCCACCCCGCGCTCTGGCCTCGCCCGAGCGCGTCGCAAACGCTCTCTCGGCGACCTCCGCCTTCTTCGTGATCCGCTCCAGCTTCTTGTATGCGACATCTGCTTTGCGGGTGGGCGCGGGAATTGTGGGCGTGGCGTTGACGCGCCGATGTCAAGCATGATCGCTTTTTGCAGCACGTCAATGCTATGCGCGCCAGCGCGCCGAACCGACGCCGCGACATCGCGCCAGCAGTATGATATTGCATGTGTGCGAATGTACGCAACCGAACCTGCATACACATGCATTGGTCATTGGGCGCGCCATGGCCCATGGTATCACATGCGCGCATATCGGCGCGAATGGTCCATGCAGCCAGTTGCATGGGGTCAAGCATGGCATTGCTGCCTTGCGGCCCATGGCCTTGGACATCTTCAGGCAATGCTTCCTGTGCCTGATCGCGGCGGTCACAGGCGCTTTGCCGCGCGCAGTCCCCCCATGCGGCGCTGCGCGCGCAGCGCCTTCAAGCCGGGGCGCATGGGCGCGGGCGTAGTCGCGGGCACGCGCGCCGCAACATATAAGCTGGGCGACAGCTCCAACCAACTCGGCTGCGTCCATGCGCGCGCATGCTGCGATGTAATCGCGCAAGAACTACTCATCATATGCCCCCACTTCGCAACCCTACTCGCCTATGCCTCAGCCTTATCAGTGCCATGCTCGGTCGCTCCCGTCGCGTTCTTATGCCCCCCGCCCCGCCCCGCCCACCCCGCTCTGCCGCCCTCGCGCCTCCGCCCGCCTCCGCGCCACCTCCGCCGCCGCCGCCGCCCGTGCGGCGCCCGCCCCCCGTCGCCCTACTGCGCCGCGATTTTGGCGATCGCGCCACGGGGTGTCATGAGCCCAACCATCAGTAACCTCGGCTCTGGCACCAGCTGCAGCGACCCGCGGGTCACGCGCGATTCGTCGCGATGGTGAAAGGCGCGAAGACGCGCCACATGGAGGCCCGGGCCAGGCTCGAATCTGCCCAGGAACGCAGGGGGGGGGGCCAAGGAGCGCAAGGCAGCCGTCAAAGCGGCTCGCCGCGCGCTCGCGGTCGCGGAGGAGATGGCGGGCGGCGCGAGCCAGCAATGCACTGCTTCGCGCCCCCGCCGCGAACCCCCCCCCCCGAGGCGTCGGGGGCGGGCGGCGGGCCCCCCGCGGCGTCTGTCGAACGACCCCGCCGCCCAACAGGCGGCCAAGAAATGCTGGGCGCCCCTCGGGGCCAAGGGTGAGTGGATGGACTCGCGCCTCGACCGAGACGGCGCGCTCCCAGCGCGCGGCGCCGCGGCCGCTGAGCCTGCGCGCGCGTGTCAGGCGCTGAACGACGTTCGATCACGCGCCGAAGGGGTGAATTTTGATAACGTGCAACATCGGTGCAATATATCCAGCTTCGCGCTGGGCTCGGGGAGCAGGAAGATGGGGGGCGGGAGGGCGATGGGGAGGAGGAGGAGGGCGGGGGGGAGGAGGAGGAGGAGGAAGAGGAGGAGGAGGAGGAGGAGGAGGATGAGGATACCTTGGTTTGCACAGGTATTGAACCGACAACAACTCAACACTGACGCGAGATGGGCGCGCTGGCACTTGCATTGACATGCAGGAGCAGCGGGCGACGAGGATGCGTGGTGCACATTCGAAACGAGGACCCGGCGCCATATGATGTTTGCGAGCAGTATCCAAATACCAAAGATAGGTTTCGGCTGGTGCGGCGACATCGGCACATGCAACGCGTTGCATATTGTCTCGCGCCTGTAGGCATTGTGGCCCGCGAGGTGTCGCGATATTTCTCGCGACGACACATGTCGCCTGATGGCGACGGTGCCGAACCTCTGCGCTGAGCTGAACCATATTCATGGCTGGATTTCGAATCAGCTCGCACGCGGGCTCGACGCCAACTCGGTTGCAAAACATCAGTGCGACGCACTGCTTCTGAAGATCAACAACATCGGTGCGATCTCCACGGATGAAGCAACGCACTTGGTCAACGCGATCAGGAGCAATGCGTTGGATCAGTGGTCAAAAAGCAAATTTCTTGCTTGTGCCAGGCCGTCGGTAAGAGGACTGGCCTCACGATGGCAAAGAGCGCAGGGGAGCAATGACAAGAGGTAGCCATTGCCTTCAAGGTCTCCACTGCGACAGATATCGAATCACCGAAGAGCGGCGACCTGTCGGAGAAGGCGTGTGCACGCCCCTCGCTGAGGCTTTCTCGTGGGCCCCCCGGGCGTCCTCATAACCGGGAAATTATGTTCCTGGAGAGGCTTCCGGGAACATGATTTCGAACGAGGCCCTCTTAGGCCTCCCTGAGGCCGTCTTGGGGGCCTCCTGGGCCGGCTTTGGGACTTCTTGGGCCGTCTCGGGGGGTCCGTGAGCCCCGCAAAACGACCCTTTTGGGCCGTGTTGGGCCCTCTTGGGTCTCTCTTGGGCCGTCTTGGGGCTCCGCGGGGGCGTCTGGGGCGCTGCGAAGGCGAACCCGGCGAGTATGCTGAAAATGTACGCTTTACTATGGGAATGGGCGATTTTTGCCTCTTGAAGGCCTTTCTGGGGCCCTCGTCGGCCATCTTCAAACCATCTCGGGCCCTCTTGGGGTGCTTTTGGGCGTCTTCGGGGCCTCTTGATGCTTTCTTGACCATCTGCGCGGCCCGCGTGGCCTGTCGTGGGCAATTTGGAAGCGGCCCGGGGCAGTCCCAGGGGGTCTGTGACCCCCTAAGGGTTCCGGGGGGCGCCCATGGGGGATGGCGGCGCTGGCCCGGCCCCCCCCCGCCTACTCCTATATCTATATATATATATATATATATGTCTATATATACATAAATTTATACATACATATTATATATATATATATATATGTATATATATATAATATATAGTATATATACATATAATATATATATATATATATAGATATATATATAAATATATATATATATAATATATTATATATATATTCTAGAACCACGCGCGCGCTACGCGCGCGCTTAGGTTCTAGCTTCGCCCGGGGCAACGGCCAAACGACGGACGAGGAGGTTGAAGGCTGAATGCACTTCGGTTATTCGTCGAGTTTCGCGGTCGTGGTTCGAAAAGCTTTTGGGCGCTCCTCGCCCCCAGGCGGCCCGAGGCGGCCGAAAACGACACCTCTTCCTCGTCCTCCTCTTTCCCCCTGCTCTTCCTCCTCTCCTCCTACTCTTCCTCCTCCCCCCATCGTCCCCTCCTTTCCCCCTTCCTCCTCCTCCGCCCCCTTCCTCCCCTCCCCCTCCTTTCCCTCCTCCTCCTCATCCTTCTCCTTTTCCTCCTCCTCCGCCTCCCCCTCCTTCTCCTCCTACGTCCTCCCTCCTCCTCCTCCTCCTCTTCTCCTCCTCCTCCTCCTCCTCCACACCTCCTCCTCCTCCTCCTCCTCCCCTCCTCCTCCTCCTCCTCCTCCTCCCTCCTCCTCCTCCTCCTCCTCCTCCTTCTCGTCATTCCTCATCATCATCATCATCACCATCGCCATCACCATTACCATCATCATCTTCATCATGTTCCTCCTCCTCCTACTCCTCCTCCTCTCCCTCCTCCTTCCCTCCTCCTCTTCCTCATCTCCTCCCCTCCGCCTCCTCCTCGTCTTCGTCGTCCTCCTCCTCCTCCTCTCACTCCCCCTTCTCCTGCTCCTTCTCCTCCTCCTTCTCCTCCTCCTGTTCAGACTACATGGCTCGCCAGACGGCACTGCGACGCCGCGCAAGCATTGGGCCACATCGGATAAAGGGAACACTCGGGGGAGGCCTCCCTCACGCTCATCCTCCTCCTTTTCTCCTCTTCCTCCACATCCTCCTCCTCCTCCTGCTCCTCCTCCTCCGCCCCCTCCTCCTCCCCTCCTCCTCCTCGTCCTTTCCTCCTCTTCCTCATCCATCCCCCCTCCTCCCCCCCCCTCCTCCTCCTCCCCTCCTCCGCCTCCTCCTCCGCCTCCTCCTCCCCCTCTTCCTCCTCCTTCTCCTTATCCTCTCATCCTCATCCTCATCATTATCATCTCATCATCATCATCATCATCATCATCATCATCAGCAGCGGCATCATCATCATCATCACCATCATCATCCTCTTCCCTCCTCTCCTCCCCCCGTCCCCCTTTCTCTCTCCACCCCCCTCCTCCCCCCCTCGTCCTCCTCTTCCTCCTCGTCCTCTTCTCGTCCCCCCCCCCCTCTTTTCCTCTTGCTCCTCCTCCTCCTCCACCGCCTCCGCGTGCAAGGAATCCAACAACATGTCGCGGAAATCGACGAACTGTGCCCCTGCGGGTTTTTTCGAGCGTCCTTTTAGGATTTGTCGGGGCCGTCTTAGGGCCCCCATTGGGCGTCCTGGGAGCCCCGAAATCATGTTCCGATAGAAGCTTCGGGGAACATGATTTCGGACGCTGCGGGAGAGGCCTCCCGAGAATCTCTATAGGCAGCTCTGCTTGCCCCGGTTGTGGCTCTGTTGGGTGCCTTTTGGGGCTCTCTTGGGCTGGCTTGTAGCTATCATGGGTCATCTTGGGTCCCTCTTGGGCCGTCTTGGGGCTCCTCGGGGTGTCACTGTGAAGACGTCGTCATCGTCGCCGTTCGCCGATCGGCGGCGTCAACTGTTGTCATCGTCGTCCATCGTCGTCGTCGTCGGTCGTTGCCGTCGACGACCGTCGTCGTAATCGTCAATCACCGTCGCCGATCACCGTCGCCGATCGTCGATCGGCCCCGAGCCCTCCCGCCCACTCCTCCTCCTCCTCCTCCTCCTCCTCCTCCTCCTCCTCTTCCTCCTCCTCCTCCTCCTCCTCCTCCCCCTAATCTGCCTCCTCTTCCTCTTCCTCCTCCTCCTCCTGAAATCATGTTCCCGGAGACGCTTCCGGGGGCAGGATTTCGAACGATGCAGAAAAGACCGGGTCCAGGGTGGCTCTGCGCACGCGGACAGCGTCGCCGCCGTCGGCGTGGCCGTCGTCGTCGTCGCCGTCGTTCGTCGATCGGCGACGTCGACTGTTGTCATCGTCTTCTATCGTCGTCGTCGTCGGACGTCGACCGTCGTCGTCGTCGTCGTCAATAACCGTCGCCGGTCGTCGTCGCCGATCGTCGATCGCCCTCGAGCCTCCTCCTCTCTCCCCCCCTCCTCTCCTCCACTCCTCCTGCCCGCCTCCTCCTCCTTTTCCTTTTCCTTCTCCTCCTCCTCCTCCTCCTCCTCCTTCGCCCTCTCCGTCTCCTCCGCGCGGAAGAAATCCGACAACATCTCCCGCAAATCAACGAACTATGGCCCTCCGGGCCTTTTTGAACGTCAATTTAGGGCCTTTTGGAGCCGTCTTAAGGCCCTCTTGGGCGTCCTGGGAACCCGGAACTCATGTTCCCGGAGAGGCTTCTGGGAATACGATTTCGAACGAGGCCCTCTTGGGCCTCCCTGAGGCCGTGTTGGGAGCCTCCTGGGCCAACTTTGGGGCCTCTTGGGCCGTCTTGGGGGTTCCGTGAGCCTCACAGGACGACCCTTTTGGGCCGTCTTGGGCCCTCTTGGGTCTCTCTTGGGCTGTCTTGGGGCTCGGGGGCGTCTGGGGCACTGTGAGGACCAAGCAAGCAAGTATGCTGAAAACGTACGTTGTACAACGGGAGTGGGCCGATTTTTGCCTCTTGAAGGCCCTCTTCGGCCAGCTTCAAACCATCTCGGGCCCTCTTGAGGCGCTCTTGGACGTCTTGGGGCCCTCTTGGGCCTCGCTGAGGCTGTCGGACAGCGTCGCCGCCGTCGGCGTGGCCGTCGTCGTCGTCGCCGTCGATCATCGATCGGCGGCGTCGACTGTTGTCATCGTCGTCGATCGTCATCGGTCGTCGTCGTGGTCGTGGTCGTGGTCGTGGTCGTGGTCGTCGTGGTCGTGGTCGTCGTCGTGGTCGTCGTCGTCGTCGTCGTGAATCACCGTCGCTGGTCGTCGTCTCCGATCGTCGATCGCCCTCGAGCCTCCTCCTCCTCTCTCCCCCCCTCCTCCCCTCCACTCCTCCTCCCCGCCTCGTCCTTGT